GGCCGGCGGCAGCGGCCGGGGCTCCGTCGCCCCCCCGCTGCCGGGCTGGGGCCTCTCCGCGGGTGGCCTCGGCCTGGCTGAGCCCGACGTCTCCTTCGAGAGCTGCTGTCCCCGCCCGGACTCCCCCAGCGCCGGCCCGGCCCCATCCTTCCCCTCGACGTCTGCAGCGGCCGGGGGTCTTACACCCGTGGCGGGCTCGTTGCCGAAGCAGGGCGAGTGGCCGGTGCTCGGCTCTTCATCTGCGGCTTATCCACGAGTTACAGTCATGGCTGGCCTCCCTCAGAATCCACCTATGAAGCTGTGTTTTCCGCTTTCATCCGCTCCACGAGCAGTAGTGTAAGGGTTGTGTGAAACAATTCACCAAACCACACAGGCTCCTGCAGAAGGCCCGTTAAAACCTGCGGTTGCGGTAGCTCCTCGCTTTTTTGCGCTGCAAAGGGAAAAACAAAAAAAACCCCCCCAGCCACACCCAAGCGATAGCAGGATGCTCCAGCTGCAGCCCACGCTGCTGACAGACTGTCCAAGCTGAAACCCTGCACTGAGCCCTGACCCTCAACAGACAGCGATGGGGTCTCTGCCTGCACCTCAAGCTGTGGAGGTGTGAGTGGCCATGCTCCCTTCAGCCCTGGCAGCATTGTACCATCACTTAATTCCTGCCTCCCCAGTTGTAGCCTACCTGCCATTCCTACCTGTGCCCCATCCACTCACTGATGTTCAGGTGCAGGCACCAGCCTGGTATTTTGGAGGAGGTGCAAGTTACAGGTGGAACACAGATGAGGCCTGCAGCTGTGTGCAGGGGCTGCTGTGGGTGCTGTCTTCCAAGCACTCCCCTGCCTGTGGTCCTAGGGAGGACCCTGCACACTCCCACACCTTGGCCCCCACCAAAAGGGTCAGGACTGCAAAGCAAGCCAAGCATTACCCGAAGTGCTTGGTATCTGCGGGAGCTGCCTACGCAGGGACTGCTGCTTGGCTCCTCCGAGGTAGCCTTTGGGGAGGGGCAGGGCAGGGCAGGGCCACTGCAAGTCCTAGCACAGAGTTAGACTTACACTTAGTGAGAAAGTACTGAAGGAAAGAGAAACCCAGCTCCTGTAGCCCCAGCAAGCTCCAGCTGGGCCCTCCGAGTGAAACAGGGACTGGGACTGGCACGTGCTGAGAAACTGCAGCCTGGAGGCCTGAGGGGCACTGGGCCTTCATCTCAGCCCGGGGCAGCACCAAGGCAAGGCTGGAGGTTAGAGAACAAGAATACCACGCTGTTTGCAGGGAACAGCGCTTAAACCCAGGCCCCCAGCTTGGCCTCAGCTGGCTTGTAGGACGAGGGTGAGAGAAAGAGAGGGAAAAGACCTTCTCCTCATGCTAGAATTTTGGTTTAAGATGTACTTATTAGGATAGCTTGGGAAAGGCTCAGCTTCAGCCACTCAAGGCACTGAAGGTATTTAATGGATTTAAATTGCTTCTTACCAGTAATATTTTGTTATTTTGCAAAAAAATAGTACCAAGACAGTAAGAAGAAATTTTATTTTAAGATGCTTTTAAAAAAAACATTTTATTGTCTGCTATGTGCAACATGCCAGTAACCACTGCAGATAAAGGAAGCATTCAGAGTATTATAACATATATATAATAAATATGCTACTCGTGACACTTTAAGACTGATGAGACTTTCTCGTATGTTACTGGTGGATAGACCTGATTTCTGAAAATGAGAATGCTATTGTGATTGAGGGATTACTATACTAATTCTATTCTAGTCTAACAGGTAAAAAGATAAAACATTTATATGATATTAAGAATCTAAATAATTTACATACAGTACACATCTCAGTATGTATTAATAAGTGAAGGGGAGCTGGATAATATTGAATACACAAGTATCAGTAAATGTTCATGTTCCCATGAAAACAGCTCTCTCTAAAAAGCAAACACTAAACAGAATAAACGTATAGTTAGAAGATTTTCATTTCAAGGTTCTGCAAACTAGAAAGTTCAAGATAAATGCATTAAGCTGAATATCTTAGCTAAGCTCAGATAAACATCTTGAATGCCTTTTCACAGCTACAGAGCAAAGACATGTGAATAACAACATACTGCATTATCAGTAGCTACAACAAGTAATTCCAATTTGCCTGTATATTCTTACACTTATTGTGAGGGTTTTCCCAGGTCAAAGCTCTTTCTACTCCTCCACCTTAGCAATTTGATAAAGTTAAGACTTGCACTGAAAATTTTGTCATGATGAAAAACCATTTTGTAGAATGTATCAATGGGTAGATCTCCATTTGGATCTGCGTATTTCAGAGTTGTCATCGGAGTATACAAGGTGTTGGTCTGATGGCGAAAAGGTGGATTTTCTGCAAGAATTATCTTTACTGTATGCTGTCAAGAATGAGAAACAGAATTGTTAAAGAACCTTTACCAAAATAATAAACTAAAATTTCAGTTTTAAGTTAAGCAGAGGAAAAGTAGAATAAAGTGCTAGAATTATGTAAAACCCTGGATGTAGTTTTATAAGAATTTAATCAGAAGTTTTTCTTAAAATGTTTTTAAGGCCATAAGAAGTACTTCTTATTTATTCTTAGTCCTATTTCTGTTTATTTATACCATGGTGATAGCACCTGACACCAAAGTATCCTGAATAGTCCTCCAAAATTATGCCTATATGCCCACAATAGGTAGATCCTTTCTTTTACAGTTCACTGGGAAAGGATCGGAACAGTGCACTTTGCAGCAGTATCTGGGAACCTTCAGTTGACACTGAAGCTATTCTTAGCAGCAAGCACCTGAAATCATTGTCCCTTTCCACAGCCTGCCTAAACTTGTCTTCCTGCAGGAAGCCCCAAGCACCAGAAACTACATCCATGTATCTTCTATTGTGCCTTGCTGGTCTGGGGTAGCTAAGTGAACTTCACATTAGCGGAGGGATTACTAGCAAGATGGAGAGGAGAGCAGCTTTAAACAGTGGTGGGAACCACTGTGTAGATGTATGGTAACACGGCAGAATGCCAAGACTTCACCAGATGATGTGTAAGTGCATCTAATACCTCAGTAGTATTTAAATTACAATTCACAATTGTCTTCCATACTTCAAAATGAACATTCTTTTAATATTCTAAAGGGTTTTGTTTAAAACTCTCGAGATTCTCTTGAGGTTTTAAAAATAATTTTAAATTGTGTAAATTACATTTAATTAAATCTAATGCTTCTACCAAAAAAACCACCAACCAACCAGTGCATTCATAAATCACAAAAAAAAAAAATTTTTTCAAGAAAAAAGAAGATGGAGAATTGTTGATGAGTTACCTCGGCAACATCTTCAGCACTTTGTCCCAGGCTCTGGAAAATTTGTTTGTAATTTTTAAGGTAAATATTAGTAAACATCTCAGCTGTTTCCTCATCCGCAGCCGAAAGATCCATCTTCATTCCATCTTCAAACACTTTTCTTTCAAACTCTGTAACCACTGGGCCTGGTTCAATCAGACTTAACCTGTTCAAAAAGCAAAGATACACTGGTTATTGACTATCCTCTGTGGGAAATACACCTCTCTATCCTTCTCAAAAAAGAATACTGAAGAATTGCACTGAGTACATGTTAGCAAGCAATATTAAACAGTACATTCTGTAAAGGCAATCCATACCACATTATTGCTCTCATGCTCCTACCCATCCACACGTAGTAGTAGAAATCTGTGTAGCTTAAATTTCAAGGAAGTGCTGTAACTTAATTCATTGCAGAATTGAGTGCAGTTCTTACCTACTGTCTCGCAGCTGTGGAATCTAAGGATGATTTATCCATAAGAACTTATCAAATATTAAGAAAAATAAGTAAAGGATGATAACAGAATTCTTGACTTTCTGGACAAAATCCTGCATAGATTTCTTTGTTACAGCTTTCCCATGATAATACTAGACATAGCTGAAAGAGAGGGAGGAATTGCCCCAACACGGATTTTCTTCATCAAGCTGTCAGTGTTACATAATTCAAGATGCCTCCACAATATTATAATAAAATATAATATTGAGAATTTTGCTGTGGGTAGACAGATTTCGGCTGCTGCCAAATCTGGAAAATTTTATTTTGCTCAGTAGCATATTATAGCACGTCACTGAGATACAGTTACTGGTCAGCTCCTTCCTCTTTCTTTTCTCAGGCAGTAATTACTTCCAGCCACAATGTTTATCAAAACACTCTTTGGGATAGGACCTCCTCCTAGATTTGAGTTCTGGTCAAGCTCTTCCTTAGAACTAAATCAAGCTATTAACCTTGACAGCAGAATTCCAGCTGCTGCTGGAATTAAAGCCTTTTCTCTTGCATCACTCTTCACACTGGACCATGGACTTTTCCCATTCTACTTCCTTTTCTTTAACCTCCTTTTGCTGTATCTTACACTCTTGAAATCTTATTATGAATTCTGGTATATCCTGTGTATCATTACAATATATTTATTCTACATCCCTCCCACCTTTTCAGAGCAGTATGCAAAACCACAGTTTGGATGCTGCCTTGTCTCTGAAATCCCAGGACAGCAGCTGTCTCTTCTCCCACAGAACAAAGGCTAAATGCTTAGGAACACAGAGAGGCAGTGGATATTTAACAGTTGTTGGACTTCACACAAAGAATAGTAGCAGAATTACAGGCATGTAAATATACATGTGACAAATCAAACCCCAAAGTCCCACAGACGATGAACGGGACCATTCTCTTAAACACTATCTTAAATGTTAAGAAATAGTACACCACATTCTTCTCACTTTCCTCCCACCTCCTGTCATTATAGGTATCTCACCCTGTGTTCCATTCTGATGGATTTCCACTTGCTCTCACTCTCTGTCTCTGATAAGCCCTTGAACTTTTTTATCTGTGAATTGCTTAAGTCTGTTATCCTTTCTAAAGGAAAATATTACAGGTTGATATTATAATTTTATTCTTATGGTATTGTATGCAAGAATCTGTTTTTGGAAGTGTTACATAAACTGTATTTTATCCAAAGCTAAACAGCCTTGAACTGTTCAAGAGAACATGTTTATTTCAACATCTAGACCTTTTTATTTGCTTATGTAGTGTGAAGAATGTGGACATTTCAATGCCTTTTGTGATGTACAATTTCCACGGGTTCCTCAATCTGTTTCTCCTAGATAGCAGCAAGCTGTAAAAATTTGTTTGCTAGCTCTGAATAGATTTAAAACTATCTAAAATACAACTTACACCAGTGGATCAACTTACTGCAGTTTGAACTTGAGTGCTTGGATAGCTAAACTTTCGCAGAATCCTTCCACAGCAAACTTAGATGCAGCATAAACATCATTAAATAAGATACCTGAAGGAACAAACATAACATTCTCAGAATGTAATTGTTCAACATACTGATAGTTTAGTTTTAAAAACTATTGTATTTTCCCAAAATTTCTACAGTCTTGCTGGGGAAAACATTAGACAAATTCTTGTGTATACTGAATCTAAATACTGATTTTTTGCATATGTTCACAAAATTGCTTATTCTAGGAAAGGATGTTTGACTAATGCTTTTCCTCCTCCTAGCTAATGCTCTGATCTCTTTGGATGATGCATGAAAGTGTCTGTACATGCAATACCATCTGCATTATTTATCAGCAAGACTTTAATAGGCTATAGATGAACACAGAAGCTGAATGCAGGAGATATGATTATGCAAGAAATCCAGCTTGCATCTGAGTGATTTAGAAAAAGCACTACATCAATCCCTTTAGGTGGATGGTAAGTATTGTATTAAACAATAACAATTCTTGCAGGACCCTCATTCACCAGAATAATCCAGGTAAAATCAATGCCACTGTTGTAGTACTTGAAACAAATAGAGCTAGACCGGATGGAACACAAGAGTAGGATCATCATTATCTGTGGCTAAAATTAGACTCTGTGGAGTTTTATGAGAGGAGAAACTTTACAAAGAGATTGTACATTTGTCCAGGACATGATTAGATTTTATTCCATTATTATTGTGCAGGGTGTAGTAAGCATGTTTACCTGTTTGCATAATCTTTTCCAATAGGAAAGAGACAAGTAATGTTACTAAGCCCTGTTTTCTAGATAATAAAAATAATAAAGTTTTAAAAAATAATAAAAATAGAGTTTGAGTTAAAACTCTTAAAAAAAATTCTCTCAGCAGGTTTTGTTGTTAAAATGTCTTGAGAGTAGTTGTGTAGTAACATACTACCTAGATGCATACAAACCATCAGGTCTAAGTGCTGTGCTTTTTATAGTGGGAACTTCAGCTACAAAGCATAATAGTTAGATATGCTAGCTCCTAAAAAGAGGTAAGCTTTAGATTTTGAATACCGAACAAGTTCAAACAAACAAAAAAACCAGCTTTGCCTTGTATTCCCATAACACTGCTTATTATAACTATATGCCCGCTCTTTCTCCTCTTCATGTCAGGCAAAATCTCCTTCAGGAGTCGAACTAGTCCAAAGAAGTTGGTATCCATCACAGTTTTCATTTCATCTATGGTTTGACATTCAATAGGTCCAATGAGCCCCATTCCAGCATTGCTAACTGCACAAAATGGAAGACAACAGTAAGCAATAACCTCCATAAACATTAATTTGTAATCTTTACTGGAAAGCATTTGAAAGTAAAATGAGGATTGAGGATTAAATGATCCTTAAATAATCCCTAAAGAAAGGATTAAAAGAAGTTATTCTGTCACTAAAGCTTTGCAAATACATTTGACATTTCCATATTTTTTTAAATTATGCTTTTAATCCAATTTATCTGATACTGTGCAATTTAACTTATTTATTTCTGATTAGTCCTTTTTCTTTAAATTATAAAAGGGTTACAGGAAATTGAGCAAAGAATTATCTATAGTTGTTTATAATTCAGTATTAAGAATTAGAGGCTACTGTCAATACCCACTTATTCCAAAAGGTGATAGACCAGGCCATATTTTGGTCTGCTTTTTGTTTTGTTAACATTCATATCTGCAGGGGAAAAAAAAAAAAAACCAAAAAAAAAACCCCCAAAACCCAACAACACACTTCCATTGGTTTTTATTTGCCTCCTGGATATTTTGTAAGTGGGGAATGATAGATAGAACTGGCATCCTACACTAAAACTAGTATGTCAAATTAAGAGTATAATATAGTTTGCAGAAGCATCTTGTTAAGTGGTGCTTTAATAATTAATCAAAATAAAGGCAGGTCCATAATTTTCTATTAGAGAAGATTTAATAGTTGATGGTGTAAGCAATTTCCACCTTACTAAGATATTAATATTTATTTTTAGCAAAACAATATGAAAACACTTCTTGTTGAATGATTTGTAAAGTACAATTACAATTGTCAATAGTAAATGAAAGTACCCTTACTTTCTTTGCATTTATTCTTTTACTTGCTAATTCCCAAATGCTCTTACTTTCTTAGTACAGACAGCTGTTGCCTTCATTGTAAGTAGGGCTATGCTTCATCGATAGGGCAGAATGTCTTGTACATGAAGATGCCAATTTAGGCAAAAGTTCTCCTCTCACATTACTAAAAACTTATCCAAGACACTTCTCTGTGATCAAGTTTCTCCTTTGTAAACAGGGAAAACAAGCTTCCCTGCTTGACAGAAGCATGGTGAGATCTAATCCACTCATGGCTGCATGAAGCCTTAAGAATCTATACTGCTATATAATTATTATTACTTTGATAATTTAAAAAAAATACACTACTGAAACTTCTCCAGGGTATTTGAGATAATGTTAAATAGACAACTGATATCTGTTCATAGCATACACATCCTGTACTTGCCTAGGACATCAATCCTTCTGTCAGGGATACTATTCACACAAGTTTTAATAGACTGTTCATCACAGACATCCAGTTGTTTAATTTCGAGGGTTTTGCCCAGACTGCGACCTGCAGCTTCCTCGAGTGGCTCTTTCTTGGCCAGATTCCGCATTGTGGCATACACTGCAACACACCAGAAGCAACAGTTACCAGAAACAAAACCTTTTCTGCGGCAGTCTTACTGAGAAGTATTAAAAAATATTGGTTGTACATCCGTATCTTAAATATCTGTGACAAAACCCAGATAAAAACTTAAAGTAGAAAGCATCTATTTTCAACATAGAGTGTCACTGATTTCTCAGAGTCTGGTTCTGAACTCTTCAAGAAATTCAAAAAAATTAAACCGCTATGCACAATGAAGAACATGCAGCGTACGAAGATAGTGTTATCACCAAAACTTTAAATAATGGGTATCAAGTTATGCTGCTGAATTATTTTTAGGTACCTAAAGCCTAATTTTGGATTCCAGATGTCCTTTTTTTTTTTTTTTTTAAATCACTGTCAACAAGTTTAGCAGAACAACCATAATTTTATTAAAAAGTGGAAAAAAGATGCTTCCTTAGGTTGCAAAAATGTCTGTTTTTGCAATCTACTTCTCAAAATAGAAATTAGTTTTATCATTATTGTGGCCTATTTACCCAGAAAACTATGAATCTACACTCAATCAGTTAGCAGTAAAATACTGTGAGAATATTTGCCTTTCCATCCATTTTCATACTAAATATCTCATCTTGCAGCAGAAAAACAAATGCCAGCCCCTTTGTTCACCCTCTTATGCCTACACAGGGTTGGAATAATGAAACATGCTTTAAAGAAAAAATGGCAAATTAAGAACCGTTTTCCTAAATACATTTATTTGGTCCTCAAATGGGCATGTACATTTCATTCAACAAAGATTTAGTAGCCAGAAGCAAAGCTAACTACAACTGTGATTGTATATTCAAGGTAGCATACTACAGACATTTTCAGCTATTTGTTTTTATACTACTGGGTTTTTTTTGTAAACTACTCAGTTCAAGTAGCTGTTCAGCTTCAATACAGGTACAGAAATATCATATGCTTCCAGAAAGCAGTGTATTTTCACTGTATTGTATTTTCTTGACAGTAGGAGAGGGAAACTAACAAGAAACAAGTCACCAAACTGAATAAAATCACCTGTTAAATCACAGAGGAAAAAAAAATAGTACTGCCTTGAAGAATATATTCTTATAAAGATAAATAACAGATACATTGTTACCTTTAAATCTTTTCTGTTCATCTTTTGCCATTTTTACAGCTAATGCCAGTCCAATTCCTGAGGAGCAACCTGTAATGAGGACATTTCTTCTTGCCATTCTTTTCACTGGGTGGTTCAAACAAGAGTTCTTGTTCAGAGGAGCAACAACCTAAATGTAGCTACAGTATAATGTCATTGGCCTTTAATGCTATCTACAGCTTTCCTGAGTCAACAAATCTGAAAATGCACACCTGGACCCTGCATGATTAAGGGATAATCTCCAACTAGACAAAAACAGAGGCAGATGCTCCTGCTTGAGCTTATAATCTGCATTATCACCATGGACTATATTTAATACACAATTTGATTAATCTTTAAAGTGAGACATTTGTAAGCTACATGGATTTTTTAATTTTTTTTTTTAATAGTGGAATAACTAGTTTGCATACTACTGGCAGGAAAAGCATTGCCACAATTACAATCAGTCTGTAGTGTTAAGTCCTCCACTCATGTCTATGGAAAGTAAACTGCACCCAGAATGGGATCCCTCTGCTAAAGTTGTTCAGACTTCCTATACTTACAGCACCCTCCTCATTCTTTTGCATCAGAATGACAAATGGATTTCTTCCCTGATGCCTTACTATTGTAAGAATCCTAATAGGCTCTACAGAAAAAGTAAATTGAAAAATGGGATGTGGATTTGGAAAGAGACAAGTTGTTTAGACAGATTCCTCACATTTCTTTTTGGCACTGTTCCCAACCCAGAATACAGAAAATAAGCAAGTATGCTGGCAGCGGAGAACAGCCAGAAAGACGAACAGAACAACTTCACTACATCCTTGCTAATGCTGAAATATCTTCGAACACTTTCTATTCTCCAGTTGACAAGTTGGGGCAGGGAGGGAGGGATATCAGAAATAGCATGATGTCTGACGCAGTTTTAGTTTTGGGATAAAATATTCCACCAACTTTGCATATAAACGCTGAATTAAACAGAGGGACATCTGGACTGGCAATCTGGTGCAATTCACATTTAACACAGCAACTGTAGGCATACTACATTCAGAAAGAAAATGGGTCTTTCGTGAAATTTATAAACCATCCTGAGTAACAGAAAAAGAATCATCTTAATAAGCAATTAACTTTCCGAACAGCATTCAGCTAACTGCAAAGCCATTATACACAGAAAAATGTTTTCCAAGATTCAATAACCCCATATTAATGCAATGCAATTCAGAAGAATGAACTTAGCGTTCCATAGATGTAAATTGGTTAGTAACTAAAGAAGAGTAGGACTCTACAGAAACATTTAACCGAAATTATGTTAGGAAAAAAAAGCCCCTCCTTTCCAAAGCAAATAAATTCACTTGAACAGTATAACAAGTGGAATCATTAACTTCTCACACAAGCAACAAAATAGCAAGACAGCATCTAAAGTTAAAGAGAAAATATAATTATGATTCTACTTATTTATCAGGTTCAACCCACAGTTTTACCAAAGTTGGTATCCAGATACACAATTTTAGTGCAAATTCAATTTAGCTGATTCAGATATTAGGCAAATTGCTTTTGCTGCTCATGCACATTTATATTTAGTGCATGTAGGAGGAGCAAGCGAGGCTTTATGCAACAGTACGTTAGTGGAATTCCACTAGTGTTGTGATGCAACTGTAATTACAGATTGGTTATATTTTCCACTTGAAATCCTGGTTTGAAAGGCTTACGTGTTCCTTTGCTTTAAAAAAATCTGTCTGAAATTTGATGCATAGATTTCTAGCCTGAAGGCAAACTGATCTGCCTAAAGAGAGGAAAAAAAATTAAAGTCTTTTAATATTTTTCAGCTATTACACTGGTCAACCTAATAGTAATGTTTTTCATTTACTACTATATAGAGAAACAAATAGCTTGATTTAAAAAACACAATATATTTATTTCCGTAAGTAAACAGTATTTTTTTGCTACATCATAATTTTCATAATAGCAAAATTATAAATAATCTGAAACTGCAGAAATACTTTAGAAGAGTGTATCTTGACCTTGTCAATGGTAGTAAAATGTCTGCCTGGTTTTGTATAACCACTTAAAGTAGAATGGTTGCATTTGTGGAACATGTTTGCATAAACAGGGAAAGACCTACCTACTACCTAGGGAGTTTAGCACACTTCCACCTGCAGGGTTGCTGAAATACAACAGATAGGTTTGTTGGCCAAGATACTTTTCTAATATATAGGAACACTTAACTGAGGCCTCATCTTTAAATTGCAATCCATTCAGTTCTGGTCCTCTGCTTTATGTCAAATAACTTTACTAACTTGATTTTCTGAAGTATGAACCACATGTCTTAATACACGTAAATCATGTTTGCATTAATCAGACTCAGATTTAGGCCTCATAACCATATCTGCAGTTTCTGATGCTTTTGTAAAGATAAAAGTGTTAGAAACAGAGACCACTAGTCATTTTTACTAGCTGAATTGTGTAGTATTTTTTGAAAATTGGAAATAAATATGTTTTAGAATGCATAGTTATGATGCCATTTTAATCAATGGTAATTTTTGTATGGATTTTGATTTGGAAAAAAAGTTCAAACTTTATGGCCCTGTCCCATACCCCTTTGCATCTGAAAGGTACTGCTTGGAGTAAAGTAAGCACGTTTTGCCAGTGTCTATGATCAAATCAGTGTCCTAAGACATCTTACAAACAGGTCAGTTTTAATAAGATATTGTGTCTGCAACATTGTATGTGTACAAAAAGAAAAAAAAAGATAAAATATTCCCAATCAAAAATTGTTAATAAGGTAATACCATTGTGCTCTTAATTGGAAGTTAGATGTGAAACACAAGTACATGGTTTAAAATCCTTGGGAAAAAATGACAGCTGAAAATAATTTCTGCAATTCAAAATACTTAAAAAATAAAATTTATTTCTCAAAAAATGAATTAAGACGTTATTATATCAAGGCAATAATCTGAAAAACAGTTGGAAAAATAAAAAGGTTGTCATTTGCGTCAGTACAAATAACCACATTCATTATTTACAAACACAATGTTAAAATTTTCTCTTTGAACTGCAGGATTATGTTACCAGCAACAGCATTCCTAGGTTGCTTGCTACTTGTTCAATAAACAACACTCCTTCCTTCATAATTCTTGCCCCTGAAACAAAACATCTGTGATCAGAACATTCCTTTAAACTTCTGCACTCAATTTACCATATCTAAAGCCATTTGTACCAAGACATTACTTTTAATTATTAAGATTTATCTTACAAATTCAAGAAAACTAGCTGTAGGTCTCAAGTCCATGGCTTCTTTCTCAAATTCTGCCTCCTAGACTGAAGTTATTAATGTATTTTTTGTTCACTGTTCTTGTAATTGAAGTGCATTTACTTTCAAAATGAGCATAATTTACAAATTTTTCAACATATATTAAGTTATAGTAGACAAGTAGGAAAATATTATGCAGAATATTTTGAGAAGAAATCTTCATATACAAACCCCTGTAAAAATTTTGTACAGTTTAAAGGAGCACTGCCTTTTGAAATAATGCTTCTGTGTAAGGCTTAAGGTTTCACATTGAACTGCATTTTTATGTTTAAGTTCCTAACAACTTAAGTTTCTAACAATTCAGGAAGTGTTTGTAAAAACCCTATCAACAGTATCAAGGTATCAAGAGGAAAAAAGCCTATGATTTTTACCAATACAAAGTGAGGAAAATCTTATCAACATTAATGTAAGTATTCTGGATTTTCTATCGTATACAGAAATAAATGCAGCCAAACACAGTATGTTTGGTGCTGGGGGCAGGGGAGGCAGAGTGTTGTTAATTTCTAGAGGTTTAGGGGTGTCGTCGTCCCCCCCTTTAAAAAACAGGCTCACATGCTGGACTTCATTATTTGATAGTTCATTTATAGAAAAATCTGAACAGGAGTATAAGGTGATCAACAAAATGGTCTCTCTAGTATATGAAACACAGCAGCTATGTTTATGTCAGCCAGCACTGTGGCACAACAGAGGCCATATCAGCCACTAATATTTCATAACATCACATTATACTATGGCTCTTGTTAATTATAAATATAAAAGTGATTATGTTGTAGCTATTCATGTTTAAGCTAGATGCTTATTCTTCATGAGGAACATTATAAATAGAGTACATAGGCATCTGTAAGTAGCACATAATAAGCTTATTGTAATAATCTTTCATTCATTAGCTATAACTTCTAATTATTTTTATGCTATGTATACTTTTATTAAAATTTTGTAATTTTTTTTTAATCTATCTTTGTAATCCCTAATTTTGTCTTACTTCACTTACCATTTTTAACATAATTTTATTTCTCATTTCAGTAAGGAACTGTGGCCACAAAAGATTAATTTGCTATAAGTCAAATCTGCCCTTTTCTTTTTTTTCTAAATAAAGGAAATTACTTCAATTTCCTAGAAAAATCAGAAAGCTACTCTGAATGTTCAGTAAGATGTTTCCAGTTCCTTTATTTGGAACACTTACAAATTCTAAGGGTAGCAGAGTGCTGTATTGTTACAAGATCTTCACTGCAGATTAAAGCAGAGTAAGAACACAGAACACTTCAACTGAAAAATCTGTGACCTGGTTATTTCATGAGTCCCAAAAGGGCAGAGTGGACCAGGACAGAAATCAACCCTAGCTAACAATTCCTTCCCTGAATTAATACATTTCCTGTAATAAGCAAGGAAGGTAGTGTATTAAGGGGAAAAGGAGTGAGACAGACTATACCCCTGGGCAAAACACACACACACAAACACACCACCCCTTTTCCCCAGAGAGATTAGGTAATTGAGTTTTTAGAACTAGGACAGAAGTTTCTGTGGAAGATTGGTCAGTCAGTCTGCAATGTGTTACTAATGAAGAAAGCCTTTTCTTACATCATGTTAATATACACAACTTTTAAACAAAGGAACCATAACATATTCTAAGTGGAGCCAGAACACCTCTACAATGTATTTCATATTTTATGCAGAATGCTTCCAAAATCCAGTGTTTTATGTACTTAACTCAATGAAAATAAGCTTGACATTTAATTTCCTTCATTCCAGGTCTCTCAAGGAACATGACTGGAGTAGGACTATTTTCAAAGCCTTTCTTGTATCATTCTTGGGCTTCCCCCTACATGGTATTCCTTAGCAAAAATAACAACAAGGAAATTTGTCTGGAAAGGAAGGGTCTAGTCAGCAGTTGTACGGGGGCTAGCTAGGAAATCCTTTCCTTCAGAATCATCCCCGAAGTCTTAGGAAAAGTTGGAAATATGTTAATGGTATGTGTGAAGGGTTGTACTGGGTTTGCGTGGCACGGTTTTGGTAGTGGGGGGGTTACAGGGGTGGCTGCTGTGAGAAGGTGCTAGAAGCTACCCCTGTGTCTGACAGAGCCAATGCCAGCCAGCTCCAAGACAGACCTGCCGCCGGCCAAGGCCAAGCCAATCAGGAACAGTGGTAATGCCTCTGTGATAACATATTTAAGAAGGGAAAAAAAAGTTGTGGCAGGCACAGAAACTGCAGCAGGAGAGAGGAGTGAGAACATGCAAGAGAAACAGCCCTGCAGACCCCAAGGTCAGTGAAGAAGGAGGGGGAGGAGATGCTCCAGGCACCGGAGCGAAGATTCCCCTGCAGCCCGTGGTGAAGACCCTGGTGAGGCAGGCTGTCCCCCTGCACCCCAGGGAGCTCCACGGTGGAGCAGATATCCACCTGCAGCCCATGGAGGACCCCACGCCAGAGCAGGTGGGTGCCTGAAAGAGGCTGTGACACCATGGGAAGCCCACGCCAGAGCAGGCTCCTGGCAGGACCTGTGGATCTGTGGAGAGAGGAGTCACGCTGGAGCAGGTTTTCTGGCAGGACTTGTGTGCTCCAGCCCACGCTGGAGCAGTGTGCTCCTGAAGGACGGCATGCCATGGAAGGGACCCATCCTGGAGCAGTTAGTGAAGGACTGTCTCCCGTAGGAGGGACCCCACGCTGGAGCAGGGGAAGAGTGTGAGGAGTCCTGCCCCTGAAGAGGATGAAGTGGCAGAGACAACGTGTGATGAACTGATCATAACCCCCATTCCCCGTCCCCCTCTGCCTCTGGGGGGGATAGGTAGAGAATCCAGGAGTGAAGCTGCGCCCGGGAAGAAGAGAGGGGTAGAAGGAAGGTGTTTTGAGATTTGGTTTTATTTCTTATTACCCTGCTCTGGTTGGTTGGCAATAAATAAGTTAATTTTCCCTAAGTCAAATCTGTTTTGCCCGTGACGGTAATTGGTTGAGTGATCTCTCCCTGTCCTTATCTCAACCCACAAGCCTTTTGTTTTATTTTCTCTCCCCTGTCCAGCTGAGGGGGGGAGTGATAGAGCAGCTTTGGTGGGCACCTGGCATCCAGCCAGGGTCAACCCACCACAGGGTAGCAGCAGGCACTGTCCTGTTCTCAACTGTCATAAATAACCTTTAACAGAAATCAAGATGGAAGAGCTGACACTGCTTTAATTTGCAGTGAAAGAACTTTCATATTCAGCTGCGACACAGCCAAGCCCCCATGATCTAGAATATAGATCAAATGCCTTTGGTGACTACACAGAAAGAAGACTTCTCCAATACGTTATCCTAGGGAAAGAAATAACATACAAATGCAGCATAATCAAAATGGCAGGAACCATTTCAGTTTTGATGTTTACCTTTAGCTGGCAAGCATCTTTTAATGAACTTATTTCTGCAGAAAGCCTGTTTATCTCAGATAGCACTTGTAGTGACTTTCCAAACCAAAGATTTGTATCATTCATAAAGTAAAATTAGCTACCTTTTCTGTTCTATCTGTGTGCTCCCATTCACCATGCCAAAAATTTCTCTCTTCTTGTTCCTATAAGCATGCTAAATCTCAGTGCTCTTTTGATGCAATTATTTTCATAAGATAGCTACCCAAGTCATAAGAAGCTCTTATCATACAGCATACTGTTTCGTTTCATTTCATGGAAGATCACACCCATAGCCAGAACATCAGGTTACTACAGATAAGCAATATTCAAATTTCTCCACAAAGCAGACAATTAAGAGTGTGCCATTAAATTTGTAATTTTTAAATCATTAAACTGGTTTAACTTTAGGGGATTAAGATTCAGCAAACACCAGGATATACAATACAACTACTTGGGGAAAAGTAATGACACTTATTCTAAAGAGACATCGTATCATTTCTTCTAGGCAGTTATGAGAATGGTATTAAAAAGTTAAATTTTTTTGTGTATTTAAGGAACATTTTACCTTTTCAAGAGCTTCTAGGCTCTGTTGTTTTCTTTCTATTTTTTTCTTCAGCTGATTTATTTCTTGATCTCTCTGGAGCAATTCAAACTCTTTTTCACGAAGCTCATCTTTAGAACGCTGAAGTTTCTTCTCTAAGCTCTCAATCTGAACAGAAAATGCAGTTAAATCAGAACTGATATTTTACTGAAATCAGGACAAGGAAAAAAAACCCAACATCCCAAACCAAACTCACCAATACCATCAGTATTACCTCTGACTTTGTATTGTCTTGTCAATTTTCTATTTTATTTTTATTTTGTCAATATTTTCCTTTATCAAATGGATAAAGGACCAGCAATTTGGGAGCTATATTGTATCAAGTAAAAAAAAAAAAAAAAAAAAAAAAAAAATAAAAAAAAAAAAAAAAAAATTCATTTTTATACTGGTATTTCCCTGCAAAATTTTTAGTTTTAATTGACAACATAAAATATTTTTGCTGGTACACTATTAAGGTACTCCCTTCTCTCTCCCTACAATAAGGAACCAATTTTCCTGTTCTAGATTAAACCTGGCCAGCTACTGTGTCCTAGGACCAGACTTTCTCAGAGAATTAACTGCCCTTTGTTAGGGAAACTGTTTTTTTAATTTAAGCAAGAATTACCTGTTTATTGCATTCCTTAATTTCTAGCTCTGACTTCTCTAAATTGGACTCTAATCGAATTATTTGTTGTTCCATTTCTCCCCTATGTTCACGAACTGTCATATCCAACTGTGTAATCTAGAGGTAAAAAAGGAAGAAAAGACAATATTTTATTTTGAACTAGTATGCGGATTTTAAGAAGCAATATTACAAAATATGACAGCAAAAGGAATGAAACTAATCCTTTGTAGTCTCAAGAATATTGTCTCAAGCAGACAATATAAAAATGCACCCTAGCTATCTTGTTTAAAAAAATAGGGGCCAAAACAAAGAGAATAGGGGAAAAATCGGGAAAAAGTCCATAACTAAGTATGTTTGGTTCTCAGGTACACAGAACACAAAACTAGTTCTCATTTTAAACGGACGTAATGAGTAGCTTAGTATACTAATACATCTTGTTAGAAAGTGCCAAATTTTGCCAAAGCAAAAGAAATCCTATCACTTTGATGAATTCCCGGAGCAGCTCACAGGGTACTGCGGCAAGAATATATTGGAAGGTCTGGCCTCCTTACAGTATCAGTTCCTTGAACAGATTTTTTTTTATTTTTTTTTTTTAAATCCCCACCCCTCCTTCTCTCTGCACCTCAAATAGTCTTGGATACAAAGGCTGGTAACTCCTGCAGGAAATACCTACTAGAAGGCTTATTATAAGTGACAGAATAGTTTTTCCATGATGGAGATAAAATCATGAAGCCAGACCAAAAGACTGAAAGCATTTCAAGTGAGCTACAGAAATTTATTCATAACAAAGATACTGTTTCATATTTAGATGCTGATTTAGAACTAATATGCTCCAGTGCAAAAAAGGAATCTATCACCTCCAAGCACACTTCAGTGCAGATCTTTCCTTTGTTTTAAACATCAAGACAACAACAGTTGTCCTGTAACTTTATTACTAAGGAAGAATTATGCGACAGGTTTTCATGAAGGAACACAACCTGTTTCCCTTAGGGGAACACCACCTGATTTTCCTGGTACCATAAGGCTTCAGCAACATACAGCTGGTTTTGAGGTTGACACTGTGGCTATATTAACAGTACAGTTTGGAATGATGTGTGAAGGCAATTAAACCTAGTGGACTTTTTATAAGTTATCTACTACGTAACAGGAATAGCTGTCATTAACATATTTGAAATGGTCTGACCTGAGCTGCCCTTTGTTTCAGTTCCCAGTTCCTTTCTTTCAATGCCTGGTCCATGTCAAGGAGTTCTTGCTTTTTTTCTTCAATTTCTCCCTTGCAGTACCTGAAATTCTCATATGTTTAATTGCTTATTGCACATTCAGTTGCTTAGGTTCAAGTATCCAGTTTGAAATCATGAGATCTATTACTTACTTAAAGCCAAATTACTCTAAAACATGAATCAAATAATTGATTGCAAAGGACAAATCCAAATGAAATAATTCTGTTAACTATATTCCAGGTGGAGATTTCCCAATAGCTTCATTATTCAAGTTATTTAATTGGTTATCAGGACAACATGTTTTTAAAAAAATAATAGTACAGAAGAAAGTAACATTAATTTATGGTCAGAAAGGAAACAGGACAATTTCACTATAAAAGAAAGTAATTCCTCTTACAATTATTTCACAATTTTGGGATTCAGAAGATAATTTTAGCAGATTTTAAAACAGATTTCCCAAAAAAGAATTCAGCACCACTTTTAGAAATTTAAAGTGAGCTGAGGAGCTAGTGTATCAAGTTATCTTACAGCCACAAACCACCGACAAATTATAGAGAGCTGCTGAGAAGATAAAAAAAAAGACCATCCAAAGTACTTGCTACTCCTAACAAAAAACTAACACAACTAAATTTTTATGATGGAAAAGATAACAGCTTACCTGAGCTCAGTTGTTAGATCCATGATAGCAACATGCTTCTTCTCCAAAGAGGACTGTGCATTCTGTAATGCATCTTGCAATTCCTGAAGCTGTGTTGAAGTGATTTTTAATTCTCCATGGGCATTCTCTAATGCAGATTCTAGTTCTACTATTTTCTGTAAGGCTTCCCTGTGGCAAGTCTCACTTTGAAGCAGCTTATCTTGTAAATCATTCACTATTTTACACACACGCAACACAAAACACAAAATGTTTAATCATCGGTAAGTCAGAGTCTTTATGCAACACTGCTGCCTACTAGCACTTGTGGTCATAATCAATTTTCAGTAACACTATTTTTAGGAAAATCTAGAAAAACAGTGACTTCTGAGGTTATACAACAATGTTTTCATGTCACCTAAGTCCTGGCTGGTTTTATTCAGCTCATAATCTATACTTGACTTGAAATATGAGGATGTACCTAAAAACATTTGGCCAAGGAGAAAGTACAGAGACAACACAGTAACTGAATATGTAGTGCTATGGAAAATGCAAGCAGAATTGCTAGTAAGACCTCTAGGTAAAAGAATGGTAAAATTAAATGGAGGAGGAGGGGTTGGAAAGTTTGTTATTTCCATAGACTCTCTTGTGTGGTTTTCTGTTTGTTTTAAAGAGCTGAATTTTTGTAAATAGCATGTGCCTTTATTAAATCTACATGTATTGTTTGGTTACCACATTAACAATTTGCATTACCAATTTACAGATAAAACTACTTACTCATTTCACCTGGGGTAAAGGTACCTCCCACAGAAGTGAGACTTTGCAAAGGTACATTAAAAAAAAGTCTGTGGGTTTTTTTGAGGTGGGGGGGGGGGTGGTGTTTTGGTTTTTTTTTTTTTTTTTTCTTTTTTTTTTAAAACTATGGAATTACCAACACATTAAAAAAAAAGTAATCTCTCCATCAAAATTATCATATTTTTACTCTCATGGACTTGATTATAAAACAACAGCAGAAAAAGGAAAAATTAAAATGTCTATTCTAATATATACAGAGAAAAAGCATGATGAAAGGAAGCTTGAGAAACAAAATAGCAAAATTACCCTTATTTGCCTTTTCATTGAGCTCTGATCGTGCTTCTTCCAAAATAATATCCAACTGATTTATCTGCATTGCTTTGTCTTCACCATCTCGTTTTAATTGCACTACTTCCTTTTCCATACTAGTAAGTTCACTCTTGCACTGATCCATCTCCAATTTAATTTGTCTAAATAGAAGCAACCAGAACAAAATGAACCTTGTAATAACAAAAGCAACATATCTATGTCCTTACATGCTCTAAGATGACAAGCATTTGTGCATAAAATAGCAATAAAAACATCATGTTAAGTAGGCTTTTCTCGCAATCAAAACCATATTCTTTAAGACTACCAAGCCCTCCTAGAATCTAGTATCTAGAATTACAAGCAACTTGATATATTTATGAATTGAATTGCATTATGAAGTGCCATCTGAAGGCTAAATAGGTTGCTGGGACATACATTAATTCCACTGGAAGACTGTTCCAGAAAGTCATGCCTCTGCTGGATAACTTCCCTTCTGATTTCCAGTCTATGCTCATACAGAGAACAAACTGCATGACTACATAGCTGAATACCACTTCAGAGAGCAGTCTTTCTTATTGATATGTCTATCTGCAGAATATACCTCTCAGTTATTCTAACCTACCTGATTGTACCATTAAGTTCATCCACTTTCTGTCTGTTTAAATCTGCTTCCTGAGCAGCTAGGCGATGTTTCTCCTCTACCTTTCTCAACTCATCTTCTGCACATGCTTTCTGCTTCTGAAGCTCTTGTTCCAAATTGGATACCTATTTAAAATGGTATTTAAGAAGTGTTGGTACTTTTAAATTACATACCAAAGAAATATACAACCTTGTCTTGCAACTCGCATAGCAAGAGTTTTAACACAACAGATTTCTTTAGAGTCTAAAATTGTGTATAATTTAAGACTAGAACTTTGCAGTCACATTTGAAAGACAAATAGTTCCTAGAAAATATAACAAGATTCAACTTTCTGAATTTCAATACACCTCTCCTTAATTGCAGTCTAGGGTTTGATTTTCCAAGTACTTAGCCCCTCTAATGCTAGCTAGAGTTTCTGATAGCACAGAACCTGGTTTAAGACAAAACCAACCACTGAACTCTTTACCAACTCAGTTACCAAAGAAACATTCAGATTTTAAAGGTATTACAAAAATATATAAAAAAGCATTTAATAATCTGTCTTTATGTAGACACTTCTCACTATACTGTACCTGTTTTTCTAGTTTAATCTGATTATCTTCCAGCTCCCCATTTCTAATAGTTTCTTGCTGTAACATTTGCTGCTGATGATGCAAAGTTTGTTGTAGGAGAATATTTTGTTCACTTGTGTCCTGAATATTCTGATCTTTTAGTTTTATTTCTTTCTGTAAATAACGAACCTGAAAACACATTTATTTTCCATTACAATAAAACATTTTTATTTGCACTTGCATCAGCTATTCTCTTCAGTCTCAATGAGCACAGAATCACACCTATTATTCATAAAACTTCTGGCTCTGAATTTAGTTGCATTACAGTTTCAACAGTACATAACACATCCCATAATTCATCACTGAGTTGTGCTTTATAAAGTGAGGACAGAAGTAATTTATCAGCCCCAGTTTTTTTACTTCTTGCTTTCTAAATATACCTAAACTGGTCAGTACCTTAAAAACATACAGAACAAAGATTTTTCATTTCTAAATTATGGAACTACTTTTATTTCTGTCACTCTTCTTTATTTCTCAAAGTCCTTGTTTCCCCCTTGAGATTCTGTTCTGAGCCTCCCCTATTTCTTTCTGCCTCTATGACAACAGTCATTTCAATAAAAAAACAGGAATTCTGAGTGCCTAACTTATCACATATTGAATAGTCTGATTTCTCAGTGATGAATACCAAGAATTTTCTCAAAAAAAAAAAAAAAAAAAAAAAAAATCACTAACTGCTCCCCCCAAAGTGGAAGTAGTGATTCTGCCACTTATGAAAACACTGGTCACAATTACAAAGCCTCACTTGCTACCCTTGATTTCACACAGTATCCCATCTCCTTATATGCAGTATAAGAACAACAGATTTTAGGGCTTAGAAAGCAGCAGTAAATATCACACGCTTATGAGTAACACAGACCATAGATCTCCATGCAGTTACTCCTGTACAGGGTCTAGTAATCTCCAGTTGACTAGAGCCTATCTCTCAGCAGGTAGGGCAGCACCCACATGAACAGCCTGCTATGACAACTAGTTCATGTGGTTAGGCATCCCCACAAATAAAAATTCATACTACTAATAGTTAAACTTAATTCTTCCTTGCTTTCATGTAGTAGTAGAAAGTGTGATAAAACTCAGGGGCTTGAAGTAAATATTTTCTTATGTCCAGGACTTCTTCCCCAATAAGATACCTGAAACACAGATCAATTATGTGCACCTAAGTTTATATTGCAATAATGCTGTCTCCATTTTTTTCCAAGATAATGCTTTCTTTCACTTAATTCTGATTTTGTTACTGCTTTCAACAATTCATTTATCTTTGTACTTCTTTTCCCTAAGCTTATCCAGTGTTTCTTAGTTATGATTTTCCCTTTTACCCTCACAAATGTATAGTCTTGCTTCCTATTCACAGCTCCTGCTGCAAATGTTTTGTCTCTTACTTCATGGAGTTTTAGATTAAATCATTCCTAACAAGTGTTCTCTGCAATACAGAAGACTTGTTAAAACAAGCTGTTACCTCTTCAGACTTTTTTTTGAGCTGATTTTCAAATATCTCCTTATTTTCTTGTGACTGATTCAAATACAGTGCAACTTCTTCCTTACACACATCCAGTGCTGACTTGAGTTGTCTCACCTAGTTGCATGTAACAGAGTACTTAATATTGCATGGCATGGTTTTTATTAACGAGTCTAAAAAAAGTGTTAAAAAACATTTTTGTGTAAAATTTCTGAAAAGCTACATTTTTATCTAAAGAATATTAAAACAGGCTTGGAAGATTCTGATAAACTTTAAAACTGAAATAGTATTCAGAAATTAAAATTATTTGTGAAATTAAATTACAATACTTTAGACGATGTTTAAATCAGATAAGACTATCAGTGATGAGAAGATATTCCGGTATTTATCAGTAACTAGAATTTAAAAGCAAACATATGCCCAATACCAAATCATTAATCCACATTTTATTACATATAGAATTGTACAAATAAATTTGGAATGATCATATGTGAATTGTGACAAGTCTTTTTCAAAAATAATATTCAGATCTTAATACAATTCCTCTCAGAAAGCTACTAAGCAGCATTTTTTTTTCTTTCTGCACTGAAAGACAATGCCTGAGTTCTACCAAAAGGGAAAGGAAAAAGCTTTTAGCAATGTCAACACTGTTAATCTATTTTACCCTTTTACTATTATTTTGGATTTGAGTAATCTCTAACAAATATCTTAGAACCTTGATCGGATAAAAGTTATAATGAACAAACCCCCAGAGGTCTTAAGCCATAGTAATTAAACTTTTCTTAAGTGTTGGTTTCAATGCTAAGACGACTTTTCTCATCAACGAGAACTATGTTGAATTTAGCTGCAGATTGGCTAATGCTTTCAATACTATCAGTTTTCTAAACCATACTGGATTGTATACCTCTCTCCCCACCCGAATCAAGAGGTTTTTTGAAGCGAAGTGATAATGGGTCTTAATTTTAAATCTGTGGAAAACATCCCAAATACTAGCCACTTGGATAGAAAACTGGTCCAACACAAGTTCAGAAAGAGCATGCTACCAGCTAAGTCCCTAGGATCATCTCCTAGTGATATCCCGAAGATTTAATACTGTTTGAAACCTGACTGTGGTAAATCACCATATGGCAATGTTTTATTAAAAAACCATTGCAAGTGCTGCATGGAAAATATTTATCAGGCAAACACTAGGAAGAGGTATAGATGGCTAAAAACATGACCAATATTATAGTATCACATATATCTAAAATTATGTTGTATCTAGGGCAATAACCCACATAACATTATCTTTGTTAGACAGTGTTTTACTTTAAGAGCACAAGCAGCACAAATCTGCCCTATTTGTAACTACAGTAATTTTATAAAGCAATTATGCATTGCATAATCTCTTACTGTGGGTTTCACCATGCTTCTTTTAATTAAAAAAAAAAAAAAAAAAAAGCAAAGACTTCAGCTTAATGACTTCTGAAATATTTACACGAGACAAATTTCTATAAAGCTGCCTTAATGTATTTTTTCTATTCAGGATAAAAGAAAATACACCATTACTGCAAACTTTAAAACTAATAATTGAAAATTAGAGAGGTCACTAACTTTGATTGTTTCTTCTGTTAGCTGACTTTTCAGCATCTTCAATCCTTGATCTTTCTTGACATTTTGATTTTCCATTTCCTGTTTGTACACATATTTTTATTCAAGAGAACAAAATGTAAATATAGTAACAGCAATTCAACTAATAAAAACTGATACCAAGAATCAGGGGGAAAAAATATCAGTGTATTTAAAACACAATTGCTTGTATACTGTTTTTGTGTACATCGTACTCTGAAGTGAATTTGGTTCTTGATAGGTATCCCTTCATATTCTGCAGCAGCAGGAATTATTAAAAGGAATAAAACATTGCCATAATAGAACATTCTTGGGTTTCTACCTAGTGCAGAATAGATGCAATTGTTCTTTATCCAGATCTCTTTCCTTTGATTAGAGTGAGAAGTCTAAGGTGCCAACCAGAGGCATAAACAGAATGCTGATAAAGAAAATAATGAAAGGTCATTTAAGTTTGTACAATGTATGGTAGTAGTAGCTGGGGACTACACTAGATTCAGCCAATTATTCAAACAAGAATTAAGGAGCAAAAACGTAAGTATATTTCATTTTCTCCAGTTTTTCCATGTGTTTATCGATATGCTTATCATTATTAGTCACTCGCTTGATTTGCATTTAAAGAAAGTCAAGAGCCAACCCTACCTCTCTGCTTTCTGTCAGCAGCCCATCCAATGATTCAATGCGATGCTGTTTATGTATAACATCTTGTTGCAAAATAGATATTATTTTCTCTTGTTCAATGAATTGTTGATGTTTCTTCTCCAGCTGTGTCTGAAGCTGCCCGTAATTAATGGTTTATTATTTTAATAAGCTTTTTCAGAGAACATGTGCATCTAAATATGTCATTCAGTTCTATTCACCCATCACTTTAAAAATAAACAGTAAATACATTCCTGCAATCAGCAGTATTGCACAGTCTTAAAAAAAAATAAATCAAGAAATCCCATACACTTAGTATTTTAAAGCAAGAGGAGAATCAAGAGAATGAGGGCAGGCAGAGTGTAATTGTCTGTCAACAGCCAAGACAGTAAGACATGCATACATTCTTTAGTAAAAGATGACAAGCTTCTTGATCAGCTAGAAATAGCCGTGGTTATATTTCTACTCACATGAAGCAACAGGATTCTTCTCTAAAGCCTGAAAAACCTACCAACAGTTCTCCCTGAACACAGATGCTCACAAGGCTCAGGCTGGCAGAGGTTCAGCAAATGAGAGAGTACTGTTAGAAGCTGTCATGGTTTAACCCCAGTAGGCAAAAGCGCTACACTTTTTTTTTTTTTTTGCTAGGTGTTTGGAGTGAAGAACAACAGTATTCTTCCTAAGTCCCTATTTCTCTTCAGTTGAGCAGAAAAGAGGATATGGGATCTCGGAGGGAAATCACGAGATTGTGTAGTGTTAGATGGAAAGTGAACTAAAATCAGGAAAAGCTGGGAGAAGAGATAAGTTTTTAATACAACTTTTTAATTGGACATCTGCCTCAGAATTACTAAAAAGACAAATTAACATAGGAAAAAAGTTACCAAGTGTATCAATCATACATACTGGCACACAAAGAAGGTCTTACTAGTTCAATCTGTTTCTCCATCTCTTTGTGCTCCTCAAGGTGAACCAACTTTGCTTTTTCAAAAGCAGAAGTTACTTGCTCATGTTCTTCACTGATAGTTGTTTCCAACTCATGAATGCGTCTGTTTTTTCCCTGGGAAACAGCAACAACAAAAAGGACTTAATAAAAATATTTAGCTGTGAAATTAAATAGTGTTTTATTTGATGACCGAGTTCCTAGATTTCATAAAAGAACAACCCAGAAAATACTGGGTTTACACAGCATCTCAAAGGATGTCACACCTATAACATAGGTAGAGAATCCCCCTAAATGCGGCCACTACACAGAGACAAGGTGTCTGGCAAGGTGGACTACTGCCACAGATTATAGCAACTGGAGCAAGGAACTTCTGACAAAGACAAAAAGAAATTCTGTGTTCACACGGATAGATGGAATCTTTAAAATACAGGTTTTCTTTTGAAAGGGACCGCATAAGTAGTTTCCTTTTTGAGCAGCCTTAGACCACTTCCCAAAACTAAAGAAGTCTGCGTAACAATACCCAGACCAGAATTTACAGTGCTCCAAGTGTTAGACCACCCTCTTCACTTATTACCATTTAGAAGACTCTTTTATTCACAGGTCTACATATATTTCACTGAAACAAATGGCAATGCTACAATTGATTTCAATAGGACCAGATTTTCATTGCACATATCATCATAAGGAAAAAGTAACATGTCCATTAATAACTCACCGTGTTCAAAAGCAGGAAAAAAGGGATGTTTTATTTGAAGCAAGATTCAGTTCTTAAAAACTGCACTGTCTAAAAACTGCAGATTGTTTAGCAGAACTGAAAGTCTATCCATTTTGAATACGTGGAATAATACTGTTTTAACTTAAACTTTAATATCCATTTATGTCTTTTTACATAAATGTAGTTTCTCACTGAGAACACTTTACCATGAGTTCCTGTTCCAACTCAGTATTTCTTGTTGCAGCAGCAGAAAAAGCAATAGTCTTTTCTTCCAACTGTTTCTCAAGCGCAGAAAGTTGAGAAGATTTCTTTGTTACCTGAAATTAAATATGGCACAAAACAGCATGAAGACAACTGTTTCGGGTTTATTCAAGTATTTGTATGTACTTTCTTACCACCAATTCAATTTCAGCTACTACTATTTCCTAGTATTTTTAATTAATTAATTATTTTTTTAATGATCTATTAAAATTTATTACTTACAGAGAAGAATTCAGAACAATTTACCTGAAATTTATCCAATTCATGATCATTATCAGTGCCATATGAGGGAATTAGCTATTACAGATTCATAACATTTATGGCCATTATTAGGATATACTGCAAATCCCAATGTGCTGGAATTCTATAAACAAATTACCACCAGAATGTAAACGTTAGCATTTTAACTTACTCAACCAGAGAAGAGCTAGCTGAAGCTTAATTTCTTTCTTTCGTGCCTCTCCGGTAATGATGTTCATCTCTGGCAACTGTACTAACATTTAGTGAGGAAAAATACAACTGTTCCTTCAACACCTATTGCTTAAGATTAGACATTAATTCAACCAAAACAACAAGACTGTGCATATTTTCCACATAACAAATCAAAATAGTAGTAGTAAAGCCCACTAACTATGTATCAGCTTTAAAATGAAATTTCTGACAACTAACAAATATCCAATTTTTCTTAAATAAGCCAGATTTCAAAATTAATATGGCAATTGCAGTTCTTCCATAACTTGTCTTAACTATCTTTGATTAGTGAACTAAACAAAAAGTGACATATTTTTTCAGTGCTGCTAAAAACTTACTTCTCTCTCTAAGCTACTAGTTTTGGAAGCCTTCTTCAATAGGTCTTCCTGTATGATTTGAAACTGACTGGCTCTCTGAGCCATGCTGGTCTTCAAAGATGAATTCACATCATCTGCTTTCGTCAGTTTAGTGCGTAACTCTTCTATCTCTTTCTGGAATCTTTGCCTCTCCTTGTCAAATTGTTTGCTGATAAGTTCCAACTGTTGACATGTTCTCCTCTCTCAAAGTAGGAAAAAATAAATTTAAGATTAATTATAAAAGAACATACAAACCAGCACTCAAGCAAATAATCATACAAACCAAAGAAAGGAGAAATATAATTTAGTGACAGCATATTGAACTAACACATATCATATTCAGAAACAAGACTGGGTTTTTTTTTTCCCCCGTAATCTAACTGAAAGCTGTGATTCATGAAAACAAACAACCCTCCCCAAACAAACAAACAAAAACCTGACAAAAAAAAAATTTAAAATTGAAGACAGCATCATTATAGGTGTCCTGAAGTCATTTCATGGAGCAGTCCCAACAGTAATCACAGAAACAATTGCAGAAATTCTGCAACAGCAGGATACAGAGAAAAGAATCAAAGAAAATATGGAAACCTTAGCATAACCTGCGTAAAGAAAGAAATACATCGTTCTATTTCAACACAGCTCGTAGCTTGGATATTGCTGAACAAGTAACTTAACTAGCAAAAGGAATAAGAATATTGTGCCTGGAAAACATGACAATTTCCAGAATTCCAAGGTGGCAAAATGCTCCCTGTTCAACCAAACCGTATCTGTTAGCTCAGAGATATATTGAAAAAACACTATAAAAACAACTTAAACACCACCAAAAAAATTCCTGTTCTCTGTATTAATCAGACAGAACTGCACAGCTATTTTGGTAGGCTTACCTCCTTGACTTCTGATCAATTTGACAGGCTCTGTTTCCAGGCCACATAACCTGCTATTTTCTTGTCCTTCATTATCATTAGAAAGATGCTCAGCTCCAGTACAGATAGTCAAGTTTGCACAAGGCTTCTGAATTTCTGCTTCTTTCATTGCCAGTTTAATGCTATTATAAAGGAGGAGACAATTATTTAAAGTACTTTCTACGTGCTAGTTCTATATCACCTTATCTACCTATTCTTGCCATAATTCAGTAACCAGAAAGCTATACCTTCGGTCTGCAATCAAAGGTTTATTCGATTCAAAACAAGATTCAGAGAGAGCTTCTTTTGTTGAGGAACTGGATAGCTGGTGTTTCAAGTGGTGCCATTTAAGCTAAAAGTTAAGGGAAAACCAAGATCAGTGCAAAATCGACTTTTTGTTGCTTCATAATTCATGTGTTACACTAGCATATAAAGACATATACACTAGGATGTTAAAAGTTTGGATAACTTGATCATTAAAATGATTCTCGTAAGTGCTTGCAGAGCACTGCAGGTTTGTCTCACATTAGCAGAAATTATAGGCATTAAAGTCCTCTGAAACTGAGACCATTCCTTCAGGTATCTTTGTACAGGTACTGAAGCATGAACATTTTTGCTATGAAAAATTAAATAAATGGAGATACTATCAGTAATTCCACTGTTTGAACTTCTTACACATCATGCTTCCTTTCAGATTTCGATGACTGCATTTAATACCATTTTTTCCTCAAGCTACAGAGAGCTTCTGAATATTTCATTCAATTACTAGAATAATCCCAAATTTTTCCAGAAAATGTATTTTCCAAATGGGCCCAAAAACAATTTTTAAGGCTCTTCCAAATAAATGGAAAATCTTCTGTTCTATGGTCAGAACAGCCCAAAACATAATTTTTATCCAAGTTACTGTATTCTCTTCAGCAGAGGTCACTTTGGCCATTCCAAAATCATACAGAAAGCATACTTATCATACAGAAAGCATATGTTTGATTTTGTTTTCATTACAGCTACTCACATTCATACTTCAAAAATAACAATACCTGATGCAATCTGTACTCCTGACCTCGTATGTCTCTCTAGCCCTTCCCAACTTCCCAAACCATTCCTCCATTAACCCTAGTCAGTTCACAACTTTGGGTTTTTTACATGACTCTCCCAGTCACAGTCAGTTTAGCGATAAACTTCACCAATACAAGCCTCAGGCTCATAAGCCAGGGTTCATCCTGGTAAACAGAAGTTCATTTACAGTCAGGGAAGGTGTGCCTTCTCTTTCCCAGAAAAAAAAAAAAATTCCTATGAACACCTCTCCTGCTCTAATTTCTCCATTGCTGAGGTTAACACATCAACTCCAGCTGTGTGATGAAATGCGTCTGCTGTCCTACTGAGAAGAACCTCTGCGTCATATAATAGGACATCATCATGTTTTAGAGAATATACATACATCTGAAGAATCAAGACATAGAACAGAGGAACGGAAAATGTAGTTTTAAATGCCTGCTGATTAATCAATTTGAAAGCACCTATCCCTTGTTCTGAATGAGAAGACAAAAGTAAGATATTTAAATTAAGAAAACATGTCATCCATGCATCTTGAAAACCAAAGATATTTTACTCAGATTATTTCTCAAGAACATCACAGGATTTCCATGCAATGTCAGTTCGAATTGTTTAAGAGACACAATACAATTTTTAAGGATGTATCAGTTACTGTACCTCTTCAGATGTACTTAGACACAACTGGGAAATAATGGTTTCTAGTATGTTGAGCTCTTCCCTTGAGTCTTCAATTTCTTGATGGTATAATTTCAAGCGGTTATGTTGCTGTGCAGTAAGTGCTCTCAGCTCTGCGTTTTCACTTATTAGAGCATTTTTCTCTTTAAGCACTATTTCTTTTTCACCAAGTTCATTCTCAAGCTCAATGATCTTCTGATCAGACCGAGTCAGCATTGATACCACGTCAGTGTTCTTTGCCTCTAGAGTCTTAATTTTTTCTTTTGTGCTATGATTCTCTTCCTTTAATTGCCTAAAAAAGTATATCCATTTAAAAGGTATAGCTCAACATAGAAGATTTTCATTATTAAAAGTACTAGAAGGACACACCATAACTACACTGTTTTACTAGTTTCATCCCTCTCAAAATCTAGGATTAGCTCTATACAAAGGACAGAAAAGTTTTCACTGCTTTACTAAGCTTTCACTGTTTGTAAGGACCAAGATGCAAACTGCTATCAGCAAACAAACGGAGAGAATAAACTACTGCTCATTCTTAAGCAACTTAATAAAGTTTTAAGCATTATCAGGAGAGTCACTGGTAGGTAATAGATGAAGGTGGCTTTAACTGTGCTGAAGCCAAGGAAATTTAAGAACAAGATAAAATAATGACACCTAAAATCACAATGGATGAAGATAAAGTACTAAGACTGAGCTAGTCTAGCATTCTGCTACTAACAAGAGAGGAAGGGGTCCTATTTCTTCTCTCCCCTCATATCTGACTGCACAGCAAGCTAACTGTATTTTTAGTCCATCACAAATTATTTACTTTTTTAGGTACCTGTTGATTTAGTAAACTGAATTAGCTTAGCAAAGGTCCTGATGAATGCCAAACCCAGTGCAAGTTAGCAGACAAAAGAGGGCAGTCTAGAGGAAAGACGCCCATCATCAGCAGAGAGCTATTAAACAGGCTCAGGCTAGTGTAAGGGTGCTCAGACACTGCTCACCCTTGCCAAAATGGTCTAAAGAACAATTGTTAAGACAGGAATGTGAGTCTGGACAGCGCATGTGAATGGGATACCCAAAACTGTCTGAGGTGGTGTTTGTCCAAACCTAATAATGCTAAAGATAACCAGCTGATGGTTGTCTTCCCTCATTGAAGTAATGAGGGAATTACCAAAAGACTTCTGAAGCAAAGAGGGGGTTCAGCTTGAAAAGAAACATACAAGGAGCATAAAAATTTGTAACAGTGGGAAAAGACCTTGGAGTGGGGACAGAGTAGCAGTCCAAACCTGGTCTGACACTTCCAGTAGTTGCAGTCAGCATCACAACCTCTGTTCAGGCCTGAGCACAGCCTCCCCAGCGGATGCCAAGAGTATCCTTCATTCTAGCTAGGGACTGACAATATGGTGTGCAACAAGTAGGGACTCACACCTGGCAGTGTAAGTGAACTAATACGGTGCTTTCTCATTGGCATGTACATTAGCAGACTGCAGGCAGCAGAACGGGTATATAAAAAGCCAGAGTACCCGCATCTCCCACAGAAGCAGTGTGCGGGCAAGGGAACCTATGCTCCCAGAAGGCTTGGTGGGGTGTTGCGTGTTACTGTGAGTATGTGGCAGTGCGTGCGATTAGAACTTTCAAGGATTAGTTATAGAAAAGCATTTAGAAATTTGTAAGTATATGCTAACATTTTTTACCTGTTTAGCATTATGGTTTGTCTGTTGTACTGCTGATACTGATCCTAAGTGTTTACTGATGCTGGTCGTGATTTGGTTTGAACTATGCAAATTGAGCAGCATGTTCAGAGTGGCAGTTGTAACATGCAATTTCTTCTCAAATAAATGTACAGAAATTTTTAAAAGCCTTTGCATTACCTTAATTGCTCTTCTAGGATGTTTAGATCCTTTCTGTAGCTGACACACTTTTCATTCATCTTCTCTTTTTCTTTTTCACAATTAATTAAACGTTTTCCCAAGACTACTTCTTCAGCTTTAACCTTAAAAAGCAATTTTTTTCATTACTGTACAACAATAATCTAAGCTTCCATGGCCAACAGGCTTTTTTAAAAGAATACTATAAACACTTTGCTGTTTCTTTTTTTCTTTCAGGTAAGCCTATAGATAGTTCTATTCCTCACTGTTGTAAAGAAAAAGAGAGGGGCAAAGAAGTTTTCTTTTTTTCTGTCATTTAGGAAAAAAGTAATGTTATTTTGGTTTAATATTTTAGGGCATATTTGTGGTTGGCAATCTCCTTCCATAAGGAAAGAAGTATAATAAAATAAAAAATTCTCTGTAAGAGCTTACTGCCTCAGGCTTGTATTTTCTCCTCCAACAAGGCAGGAAGCATTAACAATTTTGACCACTGGAACTTTGGGAGATTACTTCATTTTCATCTTAGCTTTTCTCTAGCTCATGTTTCATTGAGCAGGTTATACAGATGGAGTCAACAGAGTTCTTCTAAAAGGATCACATACTTTTAAAACATAAAATTCCCAGCTGGCAAGTAAGAGACAAAAAAACCCACCAGCAGTATTAGGATACCTCAATGACGTAGACCATCCAGACTGCGTGAAGACAGTTTAAAACTGGGTAACTGAAGTTATCACCACAAACAGTTGCTTACCCTGTCCCACCTCGCTTAAGACTTTGCCACTGACAAGCAGAAACAATTGACCCACTGGTGAACCTGTTGCTGTTTGCTGCTCAGCTAATTGGAAGAAACAAAATCCTAATAGCATGGCAAAAACAAGTGAAGAAAAAACTCCTACCTTTTCTAATTTTTCAGTTATTTTCTCTTTATACTTTTTGAAGGCTCTTGTCAGCTCCTCCACATTCAACAAAGCTTCATTTCTTTGCTGTTCTGCTCTGCAAAGAAGCATACCAATTTTAAAAACCACAAATTTCAGTCATTATGTAACTATCTCCTCCAGTTACTAAGAACAGCTACCAAATTAACTGCTCCAGGTAACTATATTTCTTCTTCCAACTTTCCAAGCCTTAAATAAAAAAAGTTTCACAAGGCATGAATTAATTTTAAATATCATCTTTGCATATTAACATAAACAAAACTCCAATAAGACTAAGAATGTAAAAATAAACACTTTTGATTCCCCTTCAAAAAGAGTTTGATTCAAATCATGCTCCTGTCCCTACCAGTAAAAGCCCATTTTAGGGACTGGGATAGCATGCATGATAAGGGAGCAGAAGACAGGGGTGCTCCTTAAAATTCCAACTGCTTAAGGGAAACTGGAAAAGATTTTAATACTGAAAGGAGCTCTCATGATGGAATTATGCAAGACTGGTGGGAACTGATCAAACGATAAGTTATTTGCGGGATACCAGAGAGATGGAATCAATAATAGTAAAGGAAGCTGAGACTGGGATGATATGAGGTGAGCAACTGTTCAAAGCAGGAACCCAGACTGTCTACTGTTTTGGTCTATTACTCCTCACCCCTGCCCCTCTCTTACTTTCCCCTGTCATTACTCACTAGGGAAGAAGTTGGAACAGTAACCTCCTGACAGCTGAGGTATGCAGTCTGTTCAGGACACCTAACACAGGCACACAAGAATTACTGCTGCTCAGTACCATTTGTTTCTCTCTCTTCCACTAAGAGAACTGTGGGGAAGGGGCAAGTGCCTCATCTAAGTACAGCCAACCCTCAGATCAGTGTTTCTCAGCCTGAGGACCACTGCCCATTTGGAGATGGCAAAAGTATTCAGAGAAGGGGATAAAGGGATTTCAGTATAACAAACAAAATAGTGTTAGCCTAAAGCACTTCAGTTAGCTTGGCCAAAGAATAGTAAGTGGTTGTAATTACTGATTAAAAGGCAAACCATAATAATTGTTAATACTAACCATAACACCATCTGTTGCCTTTAACAGCTGGCATAAGCTCAGCTTTTCTAAAGTACCAAAATGTTTACATTTGCAACTGGTAACTAAGTACAGCTAGCTCCAACCCCACATGCTCTGAATGAACAGTGAACATCAATTAACACATTTCTTCAGAGTAGCACAAGCCCCACAGTATTTCCATTTGTCTAGCTATAGGAAGGTTAGAACTAATTTCATGGGTAGGTAGACAAGCCAAACAAAGGGTTTGCATTCAAAAGGCAGTGCTAGGTTAACAGTTGGACTCGATGATCTTAAAGGTCTTTTCAACCTAAACAATTATATGATTCTAATAAAAGCTTTCATAAGTCATTAATTCAGTTAATGTTTGCCCCAGGTAATGCAATTAAATTAATTGGGCAGGTAAGAATCTTTTTATTTATTCCTCTCATTTCTTTAAAATTACATTTTGGAGGTAATAGGATTGTATACGGTAACTTCCAATAGTCAAAAGGACCCTCCCCATAGCCACACAACCACTGGGTTAAAGGAGGCAATAGGAAAGGGAAACAGGGATTGGGATGGAATTACAGCACCCTTTTCAATAGTACCATATAGACGGGTAAGATTAAGGATAACATAGAAGTGTTCTCTCGATTAAGTTGTGCTTCTACCACTTTCCTCACACAAACTCCAAAAATACAGCACTCGGTACTGTTGAATACTGAGTGCTGAGCATATGCTGTAGGTTCTTGCAAAACAAAGTTAAAAAAAAAAATCAGGAAAAATACATTCTAGATACATTTCAGCTCTCCACTGCAGTACATCTATTCTGAAGGGAAAAAACAGGTGATAAACTGGTTACTGGTGTATGATATCAGCCTGCAACTATCAGCAAATTTCAAGATTTAAAAAACACCTATTTAAATAGTAATTATCTTCACAAAGAATTTCCCCATTTATTTAAAAATATCCATAAAGCAGAGAAATAATTTGATTCCACGAAGTCAATATCTGCCAATGGAAATAAACACTTACACACTACTGTTCTGTATTCCATTTATTAAAATTACTTAGCTACCTCTTTCCTTGCTTGCTTCGTTCAATTAACTCCATTTTCAGATTTTTATAGTCCTTTTTATATCTTTGCAGCATATTTTCTCTTTCCATTCCTGTCTTCTGGCTTTGATCTAGTTTATCTTTTGCATCTCTAGCAAATAAACAAAGCATAACTAAAAATTAGGAACTTTTTCGTAAAGAAACTAGATTTTTTTTTGTTGTTCTCTGCATATGAGGTTTGAGAAGCGCTAATCAAACACGCTGCAACTCTCAAAACTAGGTTTGGAACACCCATAGTCTCCAGACTCCCCAGGAGTATATCTGCAGTCTGGAGCAGTGTCCAAACCTCATCAATAGGCATCAGATGTCACGACTGCCAAGGACCCAAATGGCTTTGTGTCATGAGATCTGAATGTAGAAATCACCGTTTTTCTGGCAATAGGTACGACTGGTCAGGATACACACGTGGGAAACAATGCTAAAACATAAATTAAATATAAGTACTTTAACTTGTTTTGTGAAGGCATTAATTGAATATTATATAGCATGAGGTTGTAAGATAAACTGATAGCCAGGTATGTCTTCCTGACAGCCTCTGGACACTGTTTATACTAGCTTTATTTGGCCATTTGCCTTTATTAATATATTCATGAAGAAAGGATCCTTTACCCTACATGCTGCACAATCATGTTTGAAAATATGTATGCTTGTTTACTACAGAAGATATGCAGTCATGTAGCATACAATCACTCTAGTCAGTTATAAGGGTACATTCACATTTAGTGTACATTATAAACTGGTTTATTTTACCAGCCTTTCTTGTTTTTGTCTCTATTTCTTGAAGTACATTCCCCATATATAAGATATCAGTACAAAATAAAACACCTCCCTCCTCCTATATATGGCTCCGAAATGAAAGTTTCAAGCCCCAGATTACATGACCCACACAGTACCAGTTATTATGTCATCCTGAAAAAGAGATTGGACTAGCAAGCAGACCACAATAAAATGTTGATTTAGAAGTACACTTACTACCTCAGAATTTTATCTTGAGCTGAAACTTCTGCTTCCAAGTTTACAATCTGTTCTTTTAACTTTGGAATGCTGACTAAGTGTGTGCCTAAAGTTGATTCAAGATAACAAATCTGAAATACAAACATATTTGGGGTTTCATTAACACTTGAATATATACCTCCAGGTGAGACGCATAAGAACAATCTGCTTACTGAATGTCATGGTGCTCTTAACCTTACTGTAGAAGATGCTTGTTCATCTACACAAACTGACCTCCAATTTTCTGCTCATTTAACATCATTCAAGTTTCCTAGCACCACTCCAGTGTGATACACTCTCTAGCAGAGTGATTTCTTTATATGTTGACCTTATCTCTTGCTTTTCCCCAAAAGTTTATGTTCCTCTAGTTCTTTCCATGCCAGACAGACAAACATTTTGTTTATCTACTTATTTGTACTGTCTGGGAGACAACATTTCTCAAACAAAAAGCATTAAGCATAGCTATGTTTTATTAATGTTACATATAAACCAAATATTATATAACTGTCCCCAAAAAACCTGTACATACAAGCGTATAGTAAATCAGTAATGATTTGATACAATATTTCCTTCTAACTCACCTTCACTTTTTCAAAATAATATTAATCCAACCTGAAAGGTCAACATCTTTCATTTCCTAGACAAATGACTACTGTGCCATTATTATTCACATTAATCTTAATGTAGCTCAGACACATGAACATACAGTACTAAATACATTACTGAGCTATTTTCTTACATAATGTGTTCTTCATTCTGTGACTTACTGGCTTTAGATTGAACTTGGGAACATCAATAGATAGAATTTATAATTAATATAGTTGTTTTGCTCATGAAGAAAGATTCCAAACTATTCTGTTCCAAAATTAATGCCGAATATTATGAAGAGATAGAATATTAAGTTTAAATACTAAATTTAGATAGATTAAGAAAAGACAAAAAAAAGAGCATGTTTTGCTTGGAATTACAGGCTCAAAAGTCATGGTCACTGGGGCATTTGGGGCTTGGTGGTTTTGGTGTTTCTTTTGATGAATACACTGAAGATACATACTCTTGTTTTTGACTGCATCAATTCAAAGTTCATTGTTTCCACTCTGTTCTTTAGGTAGTGTTTCTGAGAAGCCAAAGATGCATTTTGCTCATGAAGGGCATCCAGCTGCTCCTTTAGACGTTCATTTTCTTCCACAGTTTTATCAGAAGTTGTGGATACTGAGTAAGACTAGACATAAAAAAAGGGGTTTTTTTATATATATATATATACACACACACATGCACGTATATATGCATATGTAAGCAATATATACATCAATGGAAACTCTGCAGAACAAATGTATTTCAATCATATTATGTTTAAGAATGCTCTGCGATATAATTGCCCAATGCTAGAGCGTATCAACTCCAAGCCCTACAAGCAAAAAAATATTCATAAACATAACAAGAGAACACAAAAGTAATAAAAATGAGTAATGAAGCACAATATTTACTTTGGATTTTCTTTGAAAATCCTGGCAAGATGTTTTACCAGCATTCTTCTTACAGTTGGAAAAGCCTTGATAGTTGCAATTAGGCTGAACAAGATCCTCCAGAGTGAAGTCTACAGCCTCATTGAAGCAGTGGCCATAACGGTCACTTGTACTAGTGCTAGGAGGGAGAATAAAAAGTTGCTACACCATTTTTCTTTATTATTTTTAAATTGCTCATAAAGAGTATTCAAAAGAAAAGCACAAAAGGAGCTACTTGCAATAATCCATTACACTGAATAAGACAGATTTAGACTACAAGAGACAGGCTGTTCTCATTCCCAAACACACTCATACCTAGAAAGCTCTTCCTCTACAGTTTGTAGGTTTTTTTCAGTTCTCCTCAGCTGATTCCGTAATGACTGTAAATTTCCAAGCAGGTCTTCATCATCAGCACTTTCAGAGCAAGTCCACATATTGTATTCCGTTGGTACCAACACATATGGCTAATATAATATTTAATATTAAAACACTGTTAAATGTATGTGAATACTATTTGGAAAGATACTCTTAAAAATACAGAAATAAGGCAAATAGAAGAAAAGGAAAGGAGAAAAAAAACAGAAAAATACAAAAAAGGAAATACTGAATTTCCAAATGCAAATGTACATTTCGCACATTACCTCTTCCCACATTCACTAGATAAAAAAATTACTCCGTACAAACTGTCTTTCTTGAGAAAAAGAGTTCTGTATGTACTCATGAAGTAGGAGAAGCTTCATGAATTGGCACTGACGAAAACTGGAAAAACCGGCTCTACACTAATTGCCAAAAATCTCTTGTACAAACCATCTCAGTTACTTTAGAAGTCCATGCAACTGGCAGGGTGCCTAAAAGGTAACGGGGCGTACACAACGAATACGCAAAACTTACCTAGCTGTCCAATGACCAGCGAAATCAAAAAACATCAGAGCAGCGAGGACGCGACAGCGCAGAGGAGGCGAGCTGCTAAGCTTGGGGGGGGGGGGGGCGGAGCAGCCTTCACCACAGCAAATAAGCCTTTCCAGATCGGGTCCGAGATATTTTGATGGGGAAACGGTCAGAGAATTCAAAGAAACCAACGCTCCCGGGCGAGGCGCTGCCGCCGCCCGCCCTTCTCCAGGGTCTCCCGCCCTCTCTCCACGAGGGTCCCTCCGGAGCCGGCCGGCCACCCAGCCCGGCCGCGATCCCTCCTCCACCTTCGCGCCGC